CTTCCTGAATCTAGACCTGGCACTCTATCCACTGTACTACCTAGCTGCCCTCAATGGTGTGTAATAGGCACCAAATGGAGAGAAAACCAAAATCTAAGAGATCACACACAGATCATCTGAAGTATTAAAGATTACTCAATGCTCTTTAGAAGGTATTTTGCATTGATAATTTATTTTAAATTTGTAGTCAACTTAGAACCCTATGTCTTGCCCAAGAAATTAATTTATTTACTCTACTTAGACTTTCACTGCTTCCAACATGATCTCACTCATCTATTCAGAATGGTCACAAAAATGCTCCTCAAAAACCACCTCCATTTTAACATTTACTTTCATTGATCTACGTTCTTGAAATGTCATCACGCATTTGCCCTATCATACCAAGACTAAAGCACCAATAGGACAGGGCAGTACAAGAGGTCCTCATACTAGGATTTCAATCAGACAAAAAGAAAATAGGCACATACTTTTGTTAGTGAAGCCAATGATCAGACACAGAAAGGTCTGAAAAAGGGGGGAGGGACAATTAATATAGGGAGGAATGTGAGTTTCAGAGGTTGGTAGGTTAAAGGGAAGAAAGTCAAGCTAGAAAAAGGGAGAATTAGGAATTAAGAGCTTAGCCAAAGAATCTGTTCAACAAGGTGTAATGAACTCATGAGATCCAGACATGCTGTGTCCAAAAGTTATACTGGAATAATTGTTTGACCTTTAAAGGAGAAACACAATTCCATTATGATGGTCTCTTGGCTTTCTGGTGAAGGGAGGAGAAACTATTTGATCACTTCAGGTCTCATGGCTGTTCTCTAGCCTCCCACAAGAAGAGGAGGAAGGATATTCCATCATAAACAAGTCTCCTTCCTTGCCTAGGAGTAAAGAGGAGAAGATAAGATTTCATCAGAGGACTTTCTTTCCTTTCTGGTGAGAGGAAGTGGTGCCAATCCATTGCACTGGACTTCAGCTGACACAGGGAAGAGTAGAAACTCCTTTTCATTATACCAGTTTTCTTGGCTGGTCAACAGCCTTTTGCAGAAAGAGGAGGAATGCCATTCAATAGTCCCATTTTCCTGCCTTTTTGGTGAGGGGAGAAGGATTCATTCTATCACACCACATCTCTTTCTTGGTTTCCAGCCTCCTGGGGAAGAGGAAAATACCATTCTATCACTCACTATTTTCCCACCTTTGGGGTAAGGAGAGAGGACACCATTCCATCAGGTGATCTCCTACCTCCTTCTAGAAGAGGAAGAACACCATTCCATTGGGCAACAGATAAAGATAAAGGTTTAGGGAACCTAGAAAGGATCGTATGAGATGAGGCAAAAATATGGGCAGATTTAGGAGAACAATTTATACAATATGAACAAGATTGCAAAAACAATGTTACAATGGCAGCACCATTTACACTTTTGCTCATATCCCCTAACTCACTGATTCTGGTAGAGGAGTTGGAATAATGCTTGCTCCCCATTGCTACTTCAAGGCTTTCCCTCTACCTCTATCATGCAGTAACCTCTCCTGCTTAGAGGTTCACTCAATTCATATTTATCACTCACTCTTTTGTTAGTTATTATCTGCTAATATCCAAAATTCTGTCCTCAAGATACTTTCCTCAAGTAGTTCAGTGCCACAAACTTTCTCAACTCCTGCCTTTGTATAATGGGACTTCAATATACATGTTGATATTCCATGAAACAACCTATCTCACAGTCCCTCAATTTTATTTATTTCACATAACCTACTCTTCTATCCCACCACAGCCACACACAAAGAAGGCCATACCCTTAATATTACCATCACCTACAAATGCACTACTTCCACATTTATGGATTCTTAAATCCCCTTATCTGAGCATAATCTCTTGTTATTCCATCTCTGCCTTCAAAACCCTACCACTGTTCTTCATCTTTATCAAGATCTCCAATCCCTCTACCCCTTGGTTTTTTCCTAGGCCATCACCTTTATATCACCTACATTCTCCTCTCTTCCTCATTTTGATTCCTTAGTAAACTATTCCAATTCTACACTGATGTTGCCTATCTTGCCCTGATAAACCTCTACTTTTAATAACTCACAACATCTGCTGCCTTCATTCCTATTCATGTGTTACTGAAAAAAGCATGGAATTTTGCTGAGTGCAATAAAAATATATGCTACATATCCACAATTGGGCCCTTGCAACAAACAATCCTTTTACACCTCCTTAAGTAACTCACTAATTCATGCCCCCACAATGATTCTTGCTTCTTCCAAATCTTTCCATCTCACTTCAGATCTTCCTTGGTCCCACCTTACCCCACACTCTCAGCTGAGAATTTTGTCTTATATTTTACTGAAAAAATAAGACAATTCACCAAGCATTACCTCTTCCCTCTCCTCATCACACATATGCCTTCTGCCATGATTTCCTCCTTCTTTCCTCTTTCACATGAACAGATTACCTTTCTTCTCGCCAAGGGAAACTCTACCATATGAATGAGGGATCCCATTCCATCCCATCTCCTTCAGCTGATTGCCCCTCTCTGTCATTCACAATACTCACATCATTCTCTCTGTCTACTACTGTCTGGTTCTCTGTTGCCTACAAATATGTCCTTTTCCCTAATTCAAAAAAAACTGTTACTTGATCCATCCATCCCCATAGCTATTATCCCATATCTCTCCTTCCTTTTATGACTCAAATCCTTGAAAAATATATCTATAATAGGTGAATCCACTTCCTTTCCTCTTCATCTCCTCTTAATTCTTTACAAGCTGGCTTCCAGTCTCATTATTCAATTAAAATTGCTCTATCTAAAGATATGAATTCTTCTCCTTGGTATTCTTGTGTCTCTAAGTTTTCATGGAATTATTCTCCCCCTTGACAGCTTCAAAACGTTCCAATTTCTGTCAAGGGCATTACAATTCTCCCTGTCACCCAGGCTCACAACCCTAGATTGAGATCATCCAACACATAGAAGCTAATGATATCATCAAGAGAAGTAATGTAGAGATAAAAGAGAAAATAGACTAGGACAGAGCCTTTAGGGATGTGGCATGACATGGATGAAGATCCACCAAAGCCTGAAAAGGAATAGTTGAATAGGTAGGAGGAGCAAAAGAAAATGGTGATCAATGGTATCAAAGGCTACAGAGAGTTCAAAAAGAATGGGGATTGGAAAGAGACCAAAAGAAAATGGAGGCTGTAAGTGAACTGATCTGATTATTACAAAATTTAGCTGAATCAGAGAAAAGCAAGACAGTTTTTTGCTAGGAGGAGAGGAGGAAGAGTTGCTAGCAAAGAGAAAACTAACAATTTTTGTACTCAGAATGAGCAGTACAGCAATCCCCAAAGGAAAACAGCAGGAAATGCAAAATAAAATTCAGTTAGATGATCCATAGAGTAGGCAGTCAGAAACTTTAGGGAGCTATTAGGAGGAATGAAAGAGAAAGAGAAGCAGGGAGGTAAGGAGGAAGTACATCCTCATGGCTTATTATTTGGAATAATTATGCTTACAAAATTATACTGAAACTCAGATGATCCTGCATTGCTAAGAGTTTCAGGTGTTTAACTGTGGAGCTGTGAAACACTAAATCGGTTGCGATAATTACTGCTATGCTTAACATTATGAAGAGAAAATGGATTGCCCCTTTGTTTTTCAGCCAGCTATTTGAGTATTATGTATGTGGAATGTTTGAATACACCCAGTAGAAGACATAAGTTCCTCTCAACCTTTGGGAACTGAAGGCCCATAGACTCCCAGGGAAGTGTACCTGATCTACTTGTCATCTACTTCTTATTCATTGCCCCCAAGAAAATTTCAAAAACAGAGGGAGACTGAGCCAAGAATGATTGCTTTATATGTTTATTTTGCATTGGAAGAAAATATTAAAAGTTGGTGAAAGAGGTTAAGGGCTAAAGAGAGAAGTTTATGCAGCAGCCAGGCAGTAGGCAGAGCTTGGCATTTAAGGATATGACTGGAAATTCTTGGACAGCATTGATTCTGAGGTTGAAGAGAATCATCTTCTAGAAAACATAAAAGAGAAGTCAGTGAAGAGACAAAGAAACAGAAGTAACAGTTTCCCATGAGCTAGCAGAACTTAGCCCCAAAATGCCAGAGGTTCAGAAAAAGGCACCAATATGAGTGGGAAAGAGCAGAGGATTTGGAGTCAGAAGGAATGGCTTCCCATTTGGGCTTCACTGATTTCTGAAGGTCATTTGTGTGATCTCTCTAGGTTGAATTTACAACAACTGAAAAATGGGCAGGCTAAACTAGACAAAAAGTTCTAAATCTAGAACCCTTTGAACTCAGAAAGGGAGAGGCCACTACTAAGAACCTACCATGTGCAAAGCCATGGACAGGGTGATTTCAATGTTCCTGAAACTTTGTGTGCAAATAAGCTTTTTGTCCAACTGAATCATGTATTGGAGAGACCATAAGAAAGCCCTTGGAGAAACTTGGAGGGGAAGAATGAAGGACAATTTCATCACCACTTTCAAATAAATCAAATCATGATTGTTATTATTATTATAAGATCCTAGATTTAAAACTTGAAGAAATAATAGGAGTGATCCAATCCAACCTCACTCATTTGGCATAACAGGAACCTGAAGCCAGAGGTTAAGGGACTTTGTCAAGATCACACAGGTAGTTGAAACTACTGACTCCACAATTATCATTCTTCACACTGCTTGTCCTAAGGGAATACACTTTAGCCAGCTGTTCTCTCCTTCCACAAAAAAAAAAAAGAACAAGAAGCTATAGTCTCAAAATGAAAGGCCTGGTAATAGATGGAAATGTGCCTAATCATTTCTAATATGCAGAAAGATGAAACAGTAAGACAGAAATTCAAAGGAGGCTGAAAGCTATTTGAGATAGGTAAAATAAGGTGATCCCTCTGACACGGTTTGGATGTTGACATTCCTGTGGTTGAATAGGACCAAGTAGATGCTTACATCTCAAGTGAAGTATAGGAGTTTAGATTATTCTGGAAGATTCTCTACAAGTCTTTACAGAGTACATACCTTAAGCGTGTTCCGGGGTGCAAGCTTCTGCAGAAACAAAGACATATGTGAGTGGATTTGCCAAAATCACTTCATACCATACAGTTCAAACAATTATACAAGATCTCCTAAGAAATTAGTATAGAATAGCTTCTAAGAGAAGGGAATAATAAGAAAAGAAGAGAAAGGAAGGGTTTAGGGTTCGGGGGATAGTGGAACAGGGCACAGCAAAGTTGAGCTGATTCCATTCTAATTACCAGCTTGTGTGGGTATGCTGATCTTTGCTGCATTAAATCCTTTAAGACTGACAAAGTTCTTATACTCCTCAAAGGCTTGTGGGTTCTCCTCTGCATCTGGACCTGGAGAGGGCAGAATAAATAACTGTTCATTTAACTCAATCCTTCTCTGGTATTGGTTTCTATTATAGTTACTTCCTATAGTGAAAGTGTTGGGTTTTGCTCCTTGGTCAGTTAAATTGCCAGCACCAAGGGAGAAGAGACTAAGTATAGTAAGCAGTTTAACACTCTTATCTTCTGCAAAGAAATGCCCTTCTACCACACATTAAGTGCTTCCAAAACCTACCTCTTTATAGAAAAACCCCTCTAAACTATACACTATACACTATACACTAAAACAAAATAGCCCCAATGCCCCCAAATCTCCAGAAATGTGATGGAAGAAAGAAAGAAGGTATGAAGACACACTGTCTTCTTCCTCCTGCTGCTTTTTTGAAAGCAGCAATTTTGCCTTTTACAGACTCATTAAAGGGCAGTTCGGTCAGTATTAGCAGCCTGGGAATGTGATTGGTAAGCAATGTCTCTGTTGCCGTCAAACCTCCAGATAGCAAAAATTTTGAGGGAATTCATAGAATCCACTGACCACTTTATTGGGCTTTGGTTTGTATGAAAATGGATCCCTTCCTGCACCTTCTAGAGATGCCAAATCTAGGAATGTCTGCCGAGAAGGAAGAATCAGTATGAACAATTTCTAACAGCTGCTCCACATCTTAGCATTCTTCTCTGGGAGGCATTCACAGAATCTCATGTTACTTACTGACAAGTTGGGCGAATCTTATTTGTGTGCCATGTAACTCGCTTTCACAGAAGACAATCCAATGATCCCTCACAGATGTCTTTTGTATGAGTACCTGGTGTTTGCCCTCATCTGTGGAGATGGTGAGGACATATACCTTTAGCATCTTTAATTCTCTTAGAAAATCTATTGGGAGGAGACTACAGAGGTCTTAAGATCTCACTCTGTCAGGAAGGACCCCAGACCTTGTGGGCCACAGCATCCAAGAATCAAGAAAAAGAGCTAGGTGGCCCCATGACAAGGACTCTTCCCCTTTGACCTGATATGACACTTTTCTAAGGCACTTGTCATGTAATATTGTATGTTTAAGAAGCCCAGGACTAAAGGTTTAAGAGTTTCAAGAAACTTTTAAAAAAGCTACAGTTTAACTCCTAATTTCACAAATAAGGAAACTGAGACCAAGAACGTGATTTGTCCTACTTTAGAGGGATAGTATGTTGAACAGATAGAACAGAGAAACAAGCTTGGAGTTTCTTGGTCCTGAGTTCAAGTCTCAACTCTGACATATACTACCAATGTTACCATGGTAAGTCACTTAAATTCTCAATACCCTCAAACAATTATCAAAGAATATAACTTTGCAGAACAGATGCTGTCATGTCTTGATAGGGGGAGTTTCCTTACTGGAAGTTCCTGATACCAATGAAATCATAAGTCAGGCCCAAAGTAACAAAGAAAGCAAGAATACATGGGTGTCTGTGTTTGTGCCTTTGGCAAGAATCACCTTGAACTTGAAGTGTGCCCTTCCCTCAATGAACACAACAATGTTTTAAACATTAGAGTTGTTTAATAAATGTTTGTTCAATGAGGGCAGCACCAGCATGATGTCATCATCCTTGTCTTTAGGAAATTATTCAGGTTCTATTCTCCCCAACATATAAATGGAAAAATCCATCTTAAAAAATTATTACAGGGATGGCTTATTATTTGCATATGCCTCTTCTATACAGATCTTTCATCCCAAGAATGTAAACAACTGCTTTAGTACCCCATCTTTGCATGTCTTGCCCTTCCACCCAAGAAACATTCTGGAGAGTCATCATATTAAAGTGATAATGAACCCTAACATGCTACACGTTTTTCTAGATGACTTATGAATCCTGAGAATAGTAGTCAAGCACTTTTGGCCAGTGAAGTATCTAATGTGAGAGAGAAGTTAAAGAAGTATTCTTATGATTTCCCAAAGCAAATCATAACAGCAGCTACTTAACGTGTCTTTGCTACCCCAAACCCTAACACCCAGGGAATTAATCAGTCAGTTCTGCATACAGACAAACCCACTCATCAACTCAGTCCATGCCATGGAAAAAGAGTGCAAATTCACTAGATATTGTCAAGAAACCACAGCCGTTGGACTCCAAGAATAAAGGAAAGTCTCAAGTCCTAATCTTTGCTTGGGCCTGACAGACCACCTCTAAGGAGGCCAGATCTCAGGTTGAAATTCTTTTAATATGGAATGTTTGATTCACTTACCATTGGAAAATAACCCAGGCTTGTTTGTTTTCAATAATATCTTTTTAATCTCTTTGCACTTGCCATTTTTGCTGGAAAACAGAGCACATGTGAATGGTTTTGCTGGAGACAAGAAGAGGAAGAGAAGTTTATATATCATTGAAATCAGGAGAGGTGATTTGATTCCCCAGTCCTGACCCAGTTCTCAGTGTTGCAAGCACAGGAGAATGTCCAGAAGCAGATTTGCATTACAGCCTGTGATCTGATTATTTTCACTCATAGAAAAGAAGCATGTGACATAGCATCCACTCTTTTGAATAATGAAAAATCTTTGGTGCAATCTGTAGAGCTGGGGATCACGGAACACCATGATCTCCAAGAAATCCAAACACAAGTGACCCCAAAAGACATAAAGAGGAGTGCATGGTATGAGTAGGCTGCAGTATATAACATAGGATAACTTGTATTATGAACTACATGGAACAAAGGCTTCCACAGGGAAATAAGTAAAGTTTAGAGGAGGCCTGAGGCCATGTGGGGACTAGCAGACAAACTGTGAATCAGAAAAAGTTAGTCAATGAGTACATTGTAAGCATTTCACTCATTGCTGAGAAAGTAAGCCTAAGCTTCATGTTCATATGTGTTTGTATGTGTATATGTACATATATACAGATATGTATGTGTGTAAGTGCATACTTTAACAATAATTTTTACTTAATCCTTCTGAGACTCTAACCTTAACTCTAACACAGTATGTATGCTGTGTGTGGTCAGATTAGATATGCAGAGGAAAGCAAGTAATAAACTTTAGCCATGGCCCTAAAGTAGGAGAGATAAAGATGAAGTAGGCTTATAGGACAACTATGGGCAGTCTACTTACTTGATAGTATATTTGGCCTCCAGATCACCATCATTAAGGTGAGTGATTGTCAAGGGTGACATCTCCTTAGGCTTCTTCTTCCCATGAAATTCATTGTCTGTCACCATGGCCTTTACAAAGTATGTACCCTAGAGGGAATTGTGATATGTAGCTAAAACTTGAAAGAGGAAAACTTAGGGCATAATGGGACTGAACTCGTCACAGACATCTCCTAATGATCTGGATCTTCATCACACACTCAGAAAAGAATCTCAACTCTCAAGCAAAAAAAATCTTGCAAGAGCCAGTTGCCTCAGGACTACCATAGACCTGTTGGCAACATACGTAAAGTTCAGTTTTTTAGGAAGAAGTCATTAGGTTGAAGTGAACTAGCCTTGAGAACCCAAACCTATCAAGCTGGCCCAACTCTGACATGGCTCAAACAGAAGCAGACATTTGGCACTGAACTCCCAAGCTGAATTCCTGAAGAAAGTGACTTTGAATCCTTGGAGACCCAACTCCACTCAAGAACATTACTTTCTCTGAATGGCCATTAGCAAGGATAAAATTGACTGAATCAAATCTCCCATTTCCAGTTCATTCTGGACAGAGTCAATTAAAGAAATAGAAGTGAAATTCTTGACTTGGAATCTACTTCCTGCACTGACTTTCGCCCGTACACAATCCAAGATTTTCTAAAAAAATATATAGCACTGAAATTGCAGTACATTGCAGGATGAGAAGGTTACAGGGCTACAGACCCAAGTTGAAAACATCCCAGTGGGACTCAAAATTTGAAATGACAGTCTTTTACTTGTATACATCCCTACTTCTAATCTACAAGATCTCCCAATGAAGGCTCACCTCAAATTGTTCTTCAGAAGGGGATGACTCCTCAGCTTTGAGGATAGAGAACAGTCTTAGTGCTATGGTGAGGAAAAGGACTTTCATCTTCTCAGATGTTCACAGGTCTTTACCTTCAGTCACTCACTATATGAAGCTGGTTAGAAGGTGTATACTCCTCTCCTAACATCTTTCTCTATAAATGTATCCTGAGATCAATATGGCATTGAAAACTGTTATCTTTTTTGCACAGTGTTCCAGTAAGTCTTACAATAGGGCACTGGGGGTAAGGGAAAGGTGAAATAACATACTACTGTTTTTGGAAGTCCTATTCCTTTCTTCATTTTGAATGACTACTTGTTAAAATCCATCCACATAATCAATTAGACCTAATTTTTTGAGTTTCTTCATCTTCCATGAGTTTTAATAATTGATGCATTTACTGTTGTAAAAGAGATGGTTATCAGAATAGAAAGTAGTTCAAATATTCTTTGAGCAACAAAAAGAAAATCAATGGCTTCAATCCAACCCCACCTTTTCACACCCCCTCATTTTTGTTGGCCCATTTTATAAAGTTTTTCATGTACATTGAAGACTTCCCCTAGTTCTATGTCCATGATGTAGTTAAACACACACACACACACACACACACACAAACACACATGACAAAGCCAGAGTCAGAAATTCTGGGTTTAGATGTCAGTTCTCTTACTCATCCCACCTTGAACAAGGTTCTCCTCTCAATTATAAAGTGCTCTTAACTTCTAACACCTTCACAATGATGCTATAAGGCAACAAATCATATATCATGATCTCCATTGTGAAGGCAGAGAAAACCTGTATCACTTCCCTGGCATCACAAAGAGTAAAAGAACTAGAACCAAAGTCCAGGTCTCCTACTGTTGGCCCCACCACCGTCACAAATACATCACCTAAAAATAAAATTGTCTTCTTTCTCAGAAGCCTTATAATTATCTGAGTTGGGGAGACCTGATTGAGAACTTGACTTAACCCAGGATGTTTGGATCAATGTTGTTGGTCAAAGAAAAGCTGGCATTCTACTAATTGGGGTGAGTTTTGCTGATCAAAGTGAAGTTCTCTGGGACATTGAATCTTGTATGTTTAACTTCTTTGAAAGTAATAAATCATTTTTTGCAGGTCACTCAGTAACAACTTCACTTATGTGAAGTTTCCTAAGAAAACATATTTTTTTCTTGCAAACATAAATCTTTGACTAGTAGTTGGTTACTTTATCTATTGATAATTTTTCTGTGACTTACCAATCAATAAACATTAATTAAATGCCTACTTTGTGCAAGCTACTGTACTAGCCATTACCCCTCCCATCCTCTTCTCTTCCCTTCCCTGCCTTTCCATCATTCCTCTCCATTTTTCACATAGAGTATCATACCTTTATCTTCAGGTTCTCTTCCCTAAGGAATGTAAATTGTGATGGCTGAAACCTAGCACAAAATCCTGAGGTTAACCTGCTAAATTTATTTCTTAAAGACCACCCCTTAAAACAAATTCAGTCTGGATCTCGTTGATTGGTCAACAATAGGTCCCAGCCTAGGGTCCACTTAATGGTCATTGATTGGGCTTTAATGACTCAGATATAAATAATATAATATAATATATTAAATTACATATATAATATAACATATTATATAAATAATATAACATATTATATAAATAATATAATATAATATAAATAGTAACTGCATCTCCTTTGGCCAGAAATTCTGAGGGTCTTCCACTCCCAGTTTCATCTTTTTTTTTTTAATTAGGTGAAAGGGGCCATTCCTTGCCTCATTCCTTACTAACCTTAATCACTGATCACTTAATCTGTTAATTACTAATCATTTATAGCAACTCTTTTTCTGAAGTTAAAGAATTGAAAAGTGAGGGGATACCCATCAATTGAAAATGACTGAACCGATTGTGGCATATGATTGTGATAGAACAATATTATGCTATAAGAAATGACAAGCACTATGGTTTCAGAAAAACCTAAAAAGTCTTACATGAACTGATGCAAAATGAAATGAGCAGAACCAGGAGAACCATGGACATGGCAATACAATATTGTAATGACAATCAACTGTGAAACTGAAATCAACTGATCTATATGAAGATCCACAACAATCTTAACACTGCAAAAATTGCTATCCACTTCATGATAGAATAATGATGGACTTCTGCATATAGTGCAAAAGAATATTGCATATTGAAGAATATTTTTCCTCTTCATTTTTCTTCTTTTTTTTTTATTTGCTACATGGTAAATGTGAACATTTGTTTTGCATGACTTCAAATGTATAATTAGTTTCATATTTCTTGACATCTCAATGAGAAAGAGAGGGAGGGAGAATTTGGAACTGAGATTAAAAATTAAAAATAATTTTTTTTAAGAAAAACTCTGATTCACAAATAGAAAGTGTTATTTGGCTTAATCCATGGGTTTCAGGCCTGTTCTTCCACTGTCTTTTCTGCTATTTAAGTTTTACTTTCATCCTTATCTTCTTTTAAAATTAAATTGATTCTTTTTCTTCCTTTTGTTCTTTTGTTATCACTGTAACCTTAAAATACATCAGTCACTTTTTATTTCTAGTTTTTCCCTTATTTTTCTGGAATAATTTGTTACCCTTACTTTTCTCAGAAATTGTCTTTATTTACCTTTCTTGGACTTCTGTTGTCTGTGATGTTTGCAAAGCAAATAGTGAATTTTGCTTAAACATAATGTATTCCTAAAAATCACCTCAATATGCAAAGGTGAGCAATAAAAACCCCAGGACTGATGAGAAAATGGAGTTAGGGCCATAATACTCAAAAACTTCATCACTGACACATAAAAAAGATGGTAACCTAATAAAAATGATAGCACATTTTTATACTTATTAAATTATTAAGAAATACATAAATACCACATTAAGTTGTAGCAGTATCCTCAGCCTCAGGCAGTTGCTTATCCTTGGCCCCAGGTTTCTGCAGGACCAGGGCTGGCAAAATAGCATAGCCAAAGGGTAAACTTGATGGACTTCAACCCCAGGACCCAACCTTTGGCCAGTATGGAATGTGGGTGATGAGATAGAAGCAGACCAGTCCTCATCTCACCCTAGCTCCCACTGCACCAGAAGATATACAATAAATATGTTATTTTAGCTTGAGAAAGACCCAAAGTTAGCTTGGAGAAGTGGGCATCAGAAAGGCTGGAGCTTGGGATTTATAGTGAAATGCTACAGTTTCTCTATTGTCTTGCTGTTTTTCTCAGGAAAGAAAAAGTAGCACATATGGAAATACAAAATTCAATTTATGATAAAATCATTCCCCAATCTATCAGTCATGTTGAAATAAATTTGCATTTTCAAAAGAAGCATTATATCAGACCTAACTGTAATTTTTTAAAAATTTATTTATTTATTAATTTTTAGTTTTCAGCATTCACTTTTATAAGGTTTTGAGAACTAAATTTTTTCATTTTCCCCCTTCCCCCTCCCTAAGATGACATGCAATCTGATATAGGTTATACATATACAATCACATTGAACATATTTGCACCTTAGTCATGTGAAAAAAGAATCAGAACAAAAGGGAAAAACCTTGAGAAAGAGAGAACTAAAAGATAGAGAGAGAAAGAAAGAGAGAGAGAGAGAGAAATAGTATGCTTCAATCTGCATTGAGACTCCATAATTCTTTCTCTGGATGTGGGTAATATTTTCCATCATGTGTCTTTTGGAGTCTTAGATCCTTGAATTGCTGAGAAAAACTAAGTCTATCAAAGTCAGTCATTGAATAATGTGGCTGTTACTGTGTACAATGTTCTCCTGGTTCTGCTCCCTTCAGTCAGCATCAGGTCATGTAAGTCTTTCCAGATTTTTCTGAAACCTGCCTGCTCATCATTTCTTATAGCATGATAATACTCCATTACATTCATATACCATGACTTGTTTAGCCATTCCCCAGTTGAGGAGCATTCCCTCAATTTCCAATTCTTGGCCACCACAAAAAGAGCTACTATAAATATTTATGTACATGTGGGTCCTTTTCCCTTTTTATGATCTCTTTGGGATGCAGGCCTAGTAGTGAAATTGCTGAATCAAAGGGTATGCATAGTTTTGAGGTCTTTAGACATGGTTCCAAATTGCTCTCCAGAATGGTTGGATCAGTTCACAACTCCACCAACAATGCAATAGCTTTCCATTTTTCTCACATCTCCAACATCTATCATTTTCCTGTTTTGTCATGTTAGCCAATCTGATAGGTGTGATGTGGTACCTCAGAGTTGTTCTGATTTGCAACTCTCTAATCAATAGAGATTTAGAGTATTTTTTCATATGACTATAGATAGTTTTAAATTTTTCATCTGAAAACTGCCTGTTCATATCCTTTGACCATTTATCAATTGGGGAATGACTTGTATTCTTTTTTTTTTAATGATAGCAGTGTAGGGAAATGTATTTCCAAATCATTGTTATTAGAAAAACCATTTATTCAATCACAAGTGGCTTTTAAGCTCACAAGCCTTATAATTTGGAAAAGCATTAGTGCAAAACACATTTTATTAAAGACACAATCAGCACAACAAAAAGGTAACATATACATGGAACAACCCTTTATGTTGAGGGGGTGGAATGTTACTACTTATCTTCTTAGACTGGGAAACAGAGGTGACAAGGAGCAGTAATAAGTCCTAATTATCTTGATAGGAAGATATACATCATTGTAAATGAAATCACATAAGATAAATGAATCTCACATTAAAATTACTGGGAAACACACATAAAGCTTATACATATAAGCATATAAGTTTAAATTCACAACTGTTTGATCAGCTCAAGTTTAATGGGCTAAATATTATAAGCCATTGTTGTTAAAGTTTCTTGCTCTACTATTCTAGATAGAGGCCTAGGTAGGTGTTATGGTTTTTGGCCCAGGCAAAAGGCTCTAAGGCATCTGGTCTATGACTCCACTTCCTCAAACTGAAGTCCTTGGGAATTTTAACAGGAGTTATGGCTACACTGAGACATAGAGTCCAGGGAACCTAAAGATATATAATACAGTGATTCTCAATTTGTGTGATATAAGAAAACACTTAAGGTAGTATGTAG